TTAATCCTGCCGAGCTATTCATTTTCCAATTGTCGTTAAACTGGAATCTCTATTCGACTCGAATTTAATATTAGTGTTGACTTTTCTATGGGCTCGTAAATCAGTGGCCGAGGATTTAGTATTGTCTTCGAGGCATTGTGTTGTGAAAAGCAACAATATAGGAGCTCTAACGATATACGAGTTCGTCTTTCATGCCTTACTTTGTTCTCTTTTGTGAAATAAAGTTGCAAGCTAGACTACTGCTCTTATTTATCGTTTCCTATATTAATACCGAGGAAGCTATGAAAGCCTCTCAAGGGAAAGGTAATGAAATTTGAGCAGAGTCTGATACGTTGCCGTTCAGGAAGATTCGTCTTCTCATACTTCTTTTGAGAAGATGAATTACATTCATGTGTCTTTTTGAGGTAGTAAGTCAAAACGGAGTTACATGTTTCAGAAGCATTTGCAGTTTTCTAACTTGCCTTCGCTTTTATAACTTGTATTGAATGTATTGAAAAGACACACAAATTAAATTACCACAAAAAACGTACCTAACATAATCAGTATGATTTGTTTTCTAATTATCTATTTATTTATTATCAGTTTGATTTTACTTCTTGACTATTACCATTCTGTTTTCATTTTCTAATTCATATTTAAATAAACTATATAGTGACTTCATCTTATTTATCAGCGATGATTTCTACCTATCGAAACTCTGCGAGTTCAGAAATTCTTGATACATCCATCTTTCGGTGTATTCGTATTGGAATCGACTTTTCATCGTTTTTTCTCCATTACTTTCCAATTATATACTAATTTTGAAATGATCTGCTTTATTATTTTATGATTTACGTTTAGTTCATTATTTTTCCATTTTAGGCTAACGAAAACACTGGTTGCTAACATCAGATTACATTACACACCTATCAGTTGATGCATTTTCTCACTTATTTATTTCAATTTTAAGACAGTTTAATAGATGATGCAATTTGATTTCTGGTCCATTAGTTTTTAAAGATATTTCGAACCAACTTAGGGCCCAAATACTTCTTTGACAATGAATATTTGACGATGTATCTGCAAGTACTGTGATTTTTTCTGCTTCTCAAAATACTCGAAGAAGGAATGGAGAATATTCCCAAGGAAAATATTCATTTCATGACGTTAGGTTTATTTACCAGATATCTTTACATATAATTACATTTCGACTCCTCATTGCATTCAGAAAAAAAAGATAATATCCTCAAGTTGAATGCTTAAAATATGTATAAATATGATGCAGAAAAGTCTTTTACCAATTTGGTCGAAACTAACCAATAGAAATTCAAATGTAATGATTACAAGTGGAAATTGGACGTAAAGCGTAGCGGAAATTTCTTAAGATCATCACAGGACACAGCAACAGAAGCATCCACTGGATTGACACAGGGAGAGTAGTAAGCCTGCGTTTATGTCTAAATAAGAATCTAAATCATGACGTTAGTTAAATAGAGCAGGGCAACATTTGAAGAAGAAACTCAACCTATTGTATTGAGAATTTATCCAAGGTAGTGGATTTTGTAGATCCCGATTATAAGCTTCATAATTTACGAAGGAATTTAGAAATCCTGTGGAAAAAAATCACTGTAACACATCCAAAAGAACTATCAAAAAAACTATGCCAAACAAATTATTCATTTTGCAAATACTATGGCAAAAGAATACAAAATTTCAAATCGAGTGCTCACAAAAAAAAGTTGAAGATATCAAAAGTGTGGTTAAGCCGAATATTCATGGAATAACGTATCGTGCAATACAGGACTGAGAGACTGGATCAATTGGGAAGCCCCAACGCATTTTCTTTGGAAGAAAGTTAGCTTACGCAGATGTCTATGCCTTCCTCTTGTCATCATTGCCACTGTCGAAACGAACTCCTCTCGTCATTACTCTAAAAATAAACCTTCACTCTTAGTATCATTAAAAATTTCAACTTGCTTTAGACTAGAATCCCCGATACGAATGAAATCTAGAATACGAAATTAAAGATGCATTTGAATTTCACACTCATTTTTATTTCCCTGAAAATGTAATGAGCCAACAACTAAGATTCCTACTTACTGTCAACTCGCTTGAAATATTTCATACTCATTTCAATAGCATCAACTTCAAGCAATAAGGGTTTTCGTGCAGGAGAAATCCACTAAATGGCAAGATGTAGGAATGAGCTCTAACTGCTATGCGATTGGTGAATATTGACATATCTGTTAACGTCACGTCAAAAATTACCATTCATGCAGCAGTCGGACCTCACGCCTACGCATTGCCGTGTAGCGGGTTTTTTATACGGGAAAACCCTCATTCTAATCAAATTATGATCGTTATATATTTTTCAGATTCACATGAGTTGACATCCACAATACTGAAATACTGCCATAATAAAGACATATTCGATCTCCATGATTGTTATCGAAAATTAAACATAATATCAAGGTCTACATGTCGAATATAAGGAACAAATTTGGACCATGTTCCATAGCAAGTCGAGCATAACATATCTTAACTAGTTTTACGAGACAAATTAAAATTTACTGTTAATATATCGGCTGATTTGAATAAACTGTAGGCGTAATTAAGTGATCAATGACTATTGAGACTGAATTTCATGAATAAGATACCTCTAGGATCAGATTTCGAAACCTACTTAACGAAGAAAAGTTCAAGTTAGTGTGGAAACTCTCATAAGAACTATGACATTGGATCATTAATTTGTGTATTCCACCCATTAATTGTATATTTTAGAAGCAAGCAGACGTATTAGATGTGTTGTATATTTGATAATATTACAGTTCAATTCGCGTACCTAATTATATCTCATTTAAGTAATTTTCTTTATTATCATTATCTTAATTTCAATAATAACTCATATAAACTCAAAAAAATAGACGTAAATTTAAACTTTTCACACTTTCAGAAATGAAGTTTTGGTTTATTCTACTTGAATATTGAAGAAAAAATTCTGTTGAATACTCATTGAACGCCAAGAAACTACTTTTTTATACTGAGTTCCTTTCGAAAATCTTTTTGAATGATGACAATACAAATGCCGAGTTTTCATATATATATATATATATATATATATATATATATATATATATATATATATATATATATATATATATATATATATATATATATATATATATATATATATATATATATATATATATATATATATATATATATATATATATATATATATACATTATTACCATTGTATCTCCATTGTTCTCTCCGTATACGCCCTTGACTGTTTGGTATATTTGATAATAGAAACGTTCAATTTGCTAGTGTATAATGTGAAATTTATTCCAAATATATAGCGTCGAGGATGTATCTATCCGCAGATGTCAAGTGTTATACGAGATATAATAATTAAAATAATAAGACATTTATTCCCAACATATATACATCCAATTACAGAGAAAAAATTACAATTTACGAAAAATTGCAAAATTGTACACAAATAACTAAGAAATAAGTTAATAATAAATAAGAAAAAAATGAACGAGAAAAAAACAAAAATAGAAAGTACAAGCGAATATATTCAACAAAAAAATTAATTCAATATAAATTAAATTAGTATAGAACAATAACCAAATGACTAAAAATAAAATGAAATATTGTCTATTACAAAGTTACTTATGGTCAGCAGAAGTTGACCATTTAGTAACGAAATATGTTTGATGAATAAAAATAAAATTAGAATTGATTGCGTTAGTACTATCTAGTAACTGAAATAACTAAAAATTAAAATAATATTTATAACTAAGTCATATGTATACAACAGAAGTTTAGGAAAATATCACGATATCCCATTGCGCTGTTCTGAGTGGCATGTCATGTAGATAGATATCACATCGGCCACAACACCCATCATAAAGATTACATATACAGTTGATAGGAGAACGTGGCATAACATTTGATCTGCTGTAAGTGACATAAAAAGTATTATTCCGCCTCAGACCAGGCCTCGGTACGCGAATATTCATTTTGCTTCATTTCTATCATTGCTATCATTTATTCAGATTTGGTGAGTCAATCGAATTGTGCAAAATTTTGAAGAGAAACGTTAGACCAAACCGTTTACACCTCAACTTCAATAATTCAATTCCCAAACTATCGGTTAGGATGGAATGAAGTACATATACTTACTTCAAACATTTCCTCTGAACTGCCTCCAAGTCGACAATAGAATTAATGTACACAGGAGACCAATTTATAGACGCATATTCCAGTATACTGCGAATAAAAGAGTAGTATACTGTTTTCATTGTGTCAAGATTGACAAAGTTGCCCCAATTTCTGACCAAACAACCCAGCATCTTAGAAGCGGAAGCCGTAATACAAGTTATATATTCAGAGAAGGACAGCTTATAGTCAAAAAGTACCCACAGATCCTTAAACTCAACACATCTATCTAGAATTTGACCTTCCAATGTATAACTATGATGAATTGGAAAAAATTTTCGAAAAATTATGAAATTTTACATTTACTGATATCCAGTTTCAGCCCATTGCTGTTACGCCACAAATTAACCGCGTGAAGGGAAGACTATAATCTGACACAATCATGACGATAGTTAATAGCAGCAAATATTTTTGAATCGTCTGCAAAAAGCAGATGCATGCAGTTAAGCTGTGAAGAAAGATCCTTTATATATATATATAATAAACAACAATGGACCCAAGTTGGACCCCTGTGGCACAAGACCATTGTCATTTCGTGTATATATTATCATATCTAACGGGAAAACTCATGAATTATTTTACAGTATATGACGATATTGTGAATTTGTATATTGAAATGTTTTAGGATTTTCAGGTATTCTACTGTGTTTTCAGATTCAATGTTTCTGTATGTAATTCAGTGGGTCCTACAGTTTAACGCAGGTTGGGAACGGCCAATGGGCTTGTAATCAATGTACATTACCCAACAATTATCATCGTTAAACCATTCAAATCAAAGACACATACACCCATGTCTACACCGGGATTCGAACCCGAATTCTACCGCATCATATTCGGTGGTTCTCCCGACTAAGCCACAGAGACAGTCTCAATGTTTCTAAAATCAACATAAATATCGTGTTACATCACTCCATTATATAGAATATCACTTCTTACACAAGTGTCATCGAAACTTTGTGACATTCAAACATTAAATGTTCGAAAAAATGTATATTTTTTTTACACATTTCATTATCTTTTGATACCAGTTTCATTTGGATATAAAGGTTGAAATCTATTGTGAAAGTAATTTCTCTGGTCAGTTTATTTTTTATGACTAAAATTTAACATTATTTGAATGAATGTATGTGAAGAATATTGATTACACATTTAGTTATAATCTGCATTCATAATATTCAATTTTGTTACATCAACTTGACAACACTGCTTTGCTTTCTGCAGAATTTATCCATTTCAACACAAGTCTTCTGTAGCTATTGACGCTAGCGATCTGCATAGGATCTGTTCTACCTATTTAATATTCAAAACGAATGTTACTGCTGAATGATCACTACTCTTGCTCTTCAACATTCCATTTTCGCTCTTTACCAACATCTCCAATTATTTTCAGCTTAAAATCTTTCTGCAATTATCTTCTATCAGAATCTAATATCAATTAGGAATGTACAAGTAAACTTGCAAACACGTTTAAGCCAGAGAAGCTGCAACTCTCGGTCGCCTTCTTGCGCTGTGTTGTTAAAATAATGGTGATCATTACGCTATAAGTTGGGAAAAATATATGCCTACCTACACATTCGAATCAAAACAAAATGACTCGAATGGACGATCGTTGAAGACAGTGACGTATTTTACCCATCAAGATTCTGAAGATAAAATTGGACGAGAATTCTATAGCATTAATTCACGTTTACCCATCTAACTATAGGTGATCTTGATAGTTGCCATTTCTCTCTTTAGATTGCATTATAATTTCGATTCTTTTCTTGCGGAACTCTTGATTGATGAATATTTCTGAAAATGTAGAATGCTTTAGATCTCTATTCAATATTGCCGAAATTGGCAGCGGTAATATGAATTTGACAGCTGACAAATGATGGAATGATCTTATGATCTATTATTTCACATTGACTAGAGATTTCTGATGTAAATACAATAGGAAGTCCGTATCTAATGTTTTCCTGAAACATTGAATCGTTATTTGAAACTGCAAGATAATGGATGTTTTGTTTAGAGGTATAAAACTTTAAGTTGGCATTACTGTTGAAGATGGCCACCGATTTGACAGCTGAGAAGTGACTTATTCTCAGTTCGGTTTGGCAATTCATCATGAATAGACTCACGCCTGAACAACGCTTGTGAATAGTGTAATTTTATTTCGAAAATAATGTTTCTGTGCGGAATCCGTATCGCGCGAATTTTGTTCAGCGATGAAGCGCCATTCCGGTTGAATGGCTACGTCAACAAACAAAACTGCCGCATTTGAAGTGAAGATAATCCTCAAGTGTATGTCAAAACACAGTTACATCTAGAAAAACTGTCTGTTTGGTGCGCTTTATGGGCTGGTGGAATCATTAGTCCGTACTTGTTCAAAAACGATGATGGCCAGAACGTTACAGTCGATCGTGATCGGTATAGAGCCATGATTACTAACTTTTTCATTCCTGAATTGAACAACCATGATATCCAGGAGCTGTGGTTTCAACAAGACGGCGCAACATGTCACACAACTCGTGCCACAATCGATTAATTGAATGACACGTTTAATGACCACCTAATTTCACGTTTTGGACCTGTGAATTGGCCTCTGAGATCTTGTGATTCAACACCGCTAGACTATTTGCTGTGGGGCTATGTGGAGTCATTGGTCTATGCGGATGAGCCACAAACGCTTGACCATTTGGATGACAATATTCGCCGTGTTATTGCCGATATAAAGCCACAAATGTTGGAAAAATTCATCGAAAATTGGACGTCCAGATTAGACTACATCCGAGCCGTGGCGGTCATATGCCAGAAATCATATTCGAAATGTAATGCCACAATATTATCTTTCGAATAAAAAAAATTCTTGTCAATCGAATAATCCATGGCTGTTTTATTGCAATTTAAGGTTCTCTAGTTTAAAAAAAAACACCCTATATATATGATAAATTCAAGAGCATAAACAGTTATTCCGGAAAAAGTTGAGCATTTCCAGAGAAATATCAATCGAAACGAATATATGGGCAGCATAATATATTTTCATGAATATATTGGTCATCATGAATATATTTGGAATATATTCATGATAGCCATTCAGCATTCCAAGATAATTTGAAAGGACAGCAGAGAATGAAAAATGTGCAAACTGTAGTTTGTATTTTTTGTGTGATTTGATGAAAGAAGGTGCGTTTTTTGTTGAAGATCGAGAGGACCAACACTAACAAACACCAAATTCTCAATGATTTTTCCTTAAGAGACCTGAATTATTCAAAACAAAACATGAAGTAATAAATTCATTTAGATCTAATATTTTAAGCAGGAATAATCTGCCCTATGCCATTTGCAATAACTAACTCTTCACTTAATAAATGAGTAAATAGCTATTGAAAATATCCCCTTATGTTTTTTGCACTACAAGGCTATTTTCTATCATCAAGATAAATCACATTTACACAGTTACAAACACAAACACTCTTTCTAGCACTGCTGAAGATCAAAATAAATTAACTTTTCGACTTTTTCTCCCAAGAAATGCAATGTAAACAATTTCTCAAGAAAAGTATTGGAATACAATCATAAAATAGACTGAAGTTTTTCAGGAGCATCTCGTTCAATACAGTTTTGAAAGTTTTTCAATGAAAAATCAATAATTATTGGATTATTATAGAGAAAAATACATATTGTTTTTATCACTATAATATATTTATTATTTTTCGGCTGAAGCTGTTAGTTATTATGCATTATCACAAAATAATGGACGAATCTTTCCAATTTTAATGGATATGATTTTCGTTGCTAATTTATACCTTTCTTTGACATACTCACGTTAATTTAGGTCTCATATTCGAATGGCACTCGATCTAGAGCATTTGTATCAAGACTCCTTATCTGCGAATACGATGAAGAATTAATCTTCAAAATTTTGCGGCATATTAAAGTCTAAAATTTCTGAAGAATGTCCTGTCCCAGTGATGTAGACTTTATATGAATTATCCTGTTTTGAGATGACTCTCGAAAATAATTCATGAGAACCTTAAATTGAATTCGGAAGAGAATCTTGTCATTCACTGTTCGATATATTTGAAAATAAATTCCGACACACCTTCATAGATTTCCAAAAATATCACAGCAGAGGAAAACATTTCCCCTCAAGAGATATCCGTGTATAATCTATTGTCGGCAGAAAAATCATACTGATATATATACTGATTTTTACACTTCACTAGTTTTTCAATATTTTACACCGTTGTAAAGGAATTTCAATATAACTTCGCTGTGATTTAGATCATGATCCAAAATACTTGAAGGCTATTATTCTGTAACAGTGCATAGGCGTACTTGATCCATTATTTCTGAAAAAATAAAAGAGGGATAACGCAAAGAGAAACATAAAAATCGATGTGATCCACCATAGGTTAATTCATCCAGTTATTAATTGAATTCCAGCTTCAAATTAATGTGAATTAACACCTCTTCAGAAAAACGACCCTTGAATTCTTCGTGCAGCAATTATCTTCAAATCAATGAGTCGTGCTTGAGAATCCAAGAATTTTTACAGTAATTCATTGGTATCACAGCTTCTGCAAATGCATCTACCAGTGCCAGAAGGTAGTAAATTAGCTATGCATATGAGAAACTTACGTCTTTATGAATCCTGAAGAATCATTACGCTTATTTTATTCATTCCAAGTAAAACAATAATGAACCTTCATTTCAGTAAAAATACCATTCAGAGCTGTGGTCAAATTAAGAACTCTGAATTCATTGGAATTGAATAAAACTGAAATATTCGAATAGCTATTGCGCCTTTATTATAATGCAGGAAAAGGCAAACGGCTATTCAATAACCTGAGCTCGCTTTGTTTAATCTGTCTCTACGTAATTATGTCCCAGTAATTTCTCATTTAGCGAATTTTAAAAAATGTAATTGGAGCAATTATTATATTTGATTGTACTACCATAATTGAAGATAAATATAGATTTACTCGAATAATTCAGTTAACGACATAGATGAAATATAATTTGAAAAAATATTGAGTGGTGACCTTCTTGAACAATATATAATTATTTTGCCTATGAACACACATATAATAATATACTAATGAGATAATTCTTTATAATACTGTGTTGATGCGTGGAAAAGTTTTAATAATATGTGAGTTCCTGGAATCGACCAAAGTGAATCTCCTGACAAATTCATTTTCCTCATGTTCCTAATGAATGCAGCATTTCGAGACGTATGAAATCAATAGAATATTTTTACACGTTTATTTGACTCGATATCAATGTTGGTATAAATTGACCAAAATGAATTTCATTACAAAGTGAGAAGCCGATTCGAATAAGTGCATCATATTTTCACTATTATTGACCTGTATACAAAACTGTCATCTTTTTGGCCAATTAACATAACCACTTCTTGAGATAAAACGCTAAGGAAAAGTTTTGTTCACATGATGAACATTTGTCTGTGATAAAATTGTTCATCACGTCTCAATATCGTGCAACATTAAGAGTTGGAGCAGAACCAACATCATTTTCATATCGCCATACCATAATGCATACCAAATCGATACTTTTTGTGGGTGCATTAAGTTCATGAATTTCTTCAGGATTTTCCTCTCACTAAATACGACAATTCTGCTAATTGTCATCTAGATGAAAATGTACTTCATCACTGAAGTAATTTTTTTTGGAAATTCAACATATTTTTCTCAGATGAAATTAATAAATTCACCAATCCCATTCTAAATGGGATTTTGGCTGACAATTCATGTGTTAACTGAGTTCAGTTAACACATGAGCTTTTAAAGATAAATCCTTGTGCAAAATTCGTCATAAACTTGTTTGTGGAATGCTTAATTGTTGTGAATTTTGTGCTA